GGAATTCGAAACTTGTTTAATCTACAAAAAAGTGTCGGTTTCCGTAGGTGGTGAGCATGAACTGATAAAAAATGGTAAAAGGTTTCATTTTGTATAATTCCTGAGTACTGATAAGGAATTTTAATATCCTCAATTGTACGAATATTGAAGACAAACTCAAATATCTTTTTTTTATAAAATTCAACATTTCCTTTTAATAGAATATAAGTGAAATTATATATGTCACACTTTTGCAATAAAATAAAAAAAAATATTTCACATGAAATTTTATTTAAATTTAATGTCATTTAATGTCAACTTTAATGTCAGTACTGCTAGTATTGCCATTTTAAAATTTCCTTTACATAATGTTATTAATAAATAAAAGGCTTTGAATGCACCCCGACCTAAAAGTTCCATTGTGCGCCTAAAGATCCAACTAAAATAATTCTAGACTATTTATAAATCTTGTAATTGTTGTGGGCTTAATTTTACCTATTTGAATTCGGAGTAAGCTCTCGCTGGGCAGTTGCATAGCATATGTTCTGATGTTTCCTAATCCTCATAACAGAGTCGACAGGAGTCACTTTCTACCGCACCTATAATCTTCATGTGGTAATTAAGTCTACAGGATACTCTGTAAGTAGTTCAGTATAGATTTTAATATCGTTTCTGCTTAGGCCAAGGATAGCATAAACTTTGTTGTGTTCACGATCAATGAATCTTCTTGACTGTCGCAAGTCAGTTTGGGCTCTCCAGTGTTCAAGTAGATGTTGTTTCTCCCGTTCACATAATAAGTTATTTGTAAAACTTTTTGTTACCCAGCAGAAGAGCTCTAGACTAATGAAAAGAGTAAACGCAGCCTTATTTGCTATACATAATGTCAACAAATATATTTGGTAATCTCACTTGAGTTTGTGATTGTTATCATACGTTTTTAAGAGGATGTTATATTAATAAAATTTGGACTAAATTGTATATTAGAATTTAATGAAATTATAAATTGAAAGATACGAAAAACTTGATTTGTTTGAAACATATTATTTAAATTTTAATTTCAGAAATTGTTTTTATTTTTAACAATTTATGTTACTTTAGTAGATTTGTAAGTACTGTTAAAATATAATTATATAAATTAAATTTATTTTTTATTTATTTTTTTTGCAGCCATCTTGTTGCATTATGTATTATTTTAAGAGTTATATACAAATTGTCAATACAAATAAATAAAATATATAAATAAAATTATAATTATAAATATCGTTCCAAATCAAAAACAAACAAAACTTAATAAATGATTTCTTTTATAAAACATTAATGTAAAAATTTTCTGTAATTAATATCAACTTACAAATCCTTAAAATATATCATATGGCATATTTTTTTTTTTAAAAATGCTATGCCTCCATGGTGACCAAATCATTGTTCGAAAACATAATTATTCTACAAAAATAAATATAATTTATTTTTAGACTTAAGCGAGGGCAAAACTCATTCTAAGTCTCATGTGCACCAGGGCGTATGAGTGACATAAATTTCACTGTTTGAAGCCTCACTGAGATAAGCAATAAAAATTCAAGATTAATTTTCTGCGAATCCATGACAGCAGCAGTATATAAACGAAATGAGCGAAAATAAAAAGGCACTTAATTAAGTGATATAAGGTTATATAATAAAACGAAATAAATGTCATTAAAATATATAATTCATTATACACTGCTGTTGGATTCTTTTTATTGTTTTTTTTATTTTTTTTTTTATTGAGTATCAGTTTTCAGCATTGTCTGCAGAGACTAGCACGTGTTAGCCAAATAATTGAAAAAGCAAATAATGCATATATGTAAGAAAATATATATACTAAAATACATATTAATGAAATTTTTTTCATGGCCTATTTTTATTGGTTTTTCGACTATGGCGGGCAATATTTTCAATTGTCATGCGATGTATTGATGCGCACCTATCAGAAGCTCTATTCGCTTTATAGATGCCATCAATAAAATTGCGTTGTTGTTGTTGGGGACTAACATCGATTTATGCACAGTTTTGTTTAGCTTCAATTACAAATTGGCATTGGGGAAACCATCGATGCCAATTATGGGTTTAATTTTTGACATTTTCGGCGTCAGTGTGTTTGTCATGCTGCGGTGACAGCATTAAGAAATGATTTGTTAGTACGGCAATTGAAAGTGCCACTATTTTCGCGGTAAAGCAACGCGTTATCATTAGTAATTTGCTTAATTGTTATGGATTTAGAAATGTCTGTGTCGTTATTTAATAAATTTTAATTGTTATGTTCTGTATTGGATATAAAACTAATAAATTATGATTTGCGAGTTGCACACATCTTAAGCTCTGTTTTCAGTAATGAATCGTTGGCTTTTAAATAAGACACATTAAAGTATTAAGTTGGGTAAGATGGAGAGGCCACATCTTGATTTCCATTTGTGATGCCCCTAAAGTTACCTGGGAGAGATAAGTTACACCTGAAAGTTTCTTCGTTAAACTGTTTCATATTTCAGGTTAAGCTGAGATGATATGCCAAGAGTACTTTCGTTATCCCAGTAAGACCAGAAAAGCAATTGTTTCTTTGTCTGTGGTCCTGATTAAAAACATAGGTTAGGTTAGGTTTGGAAGGCGCGTGCTGACAATTATCAGCACTTTCACTCGGAGGCACATATTGTCCATTGTGATGCACTCAAAAAATTTGGCCGAGAGAGGCGAGTTGCTAACCTTGGTTATCCTTGCTAAACCATTTGGTTTTCCATATGAAGTTGAGGAGATCCGATAAGTTTGCTTTCGTTATCTCTTGTGATGCCAGTGAAAAAGCGATCTCCAAGACATTGAAGTGTCTGCAGACCTGGATAGAGACACAAGAAGTGGTTGATAGATTCTACTTCTTCTTCATCTTGGCAACTCGTGCATAATTCACTTATTGGAACTTGCCAGCGTTGGAGCATAGGCGTAATGGCACAGTGCCCCATTAGTACTTAAGTAAGCACATAAACTGCAGGTTTGTTAAAGCCTAAAAGGCGTTTCGTTTTATTTTTGTCTAACCTAGGCCACAAGGTTTTAATTACCATACATTGTTGGTCACAAAACAAAAAAAAAATAAGAAATATAGAAAGGGATTATAGATTTTAATTTCTCTGCGCCAAAATAACTTCGGCATAATATACTTCTCAAAATAACTCATCGTTTAAAATTTTTATATAATATGAAAAAAGACGAAAACAACTTTTGCAAGCAAAAATGACATTTAATACCAAAAAGGTTTATCACAAGGTTTCTAATAAAGAAAGCTAACGAGACTAACTAAAACTGTATCATTGAAATAAATAGTTTCCAGACTAATACACAGAGAATATCATTAAAACAAACACTTCAGAAGTATTTTAGTGGAAATAACAGAAGGGAAGCAAATCCTTATTTACAATAAGCTTATTAAACAAACAGCTTTTAATCAACAGAAAGACAAAGGTCCTCTCAAATCAATATCGGGATTTAAATAGTTCATGTCTTTTGAAATAACTTATTAAATTTTTATATCTATATTTATATTCATAATCCATTTCTTATATTCTCAAGTAAATGGAATATGTAATAAGTAATTGTTTGAACGGACATCATTCCAATCACATCAAAAACTTCATTGATTTTGTAATCTTTGAGGTTTTAATAAGTAACGAAGGATAAATGACATTAATTCTAGTCAAATACACAATTTTTTTCATTAATTTATTACCTAAAAGTTAACTTTTTGACAATTTGCGTAAACACTTACTATTAATTACTTTTAAATATTCATGTAATTTTTTATATCATCCACAACATTAAATATTAAAGATAATTAAGATATAACCGTAATTAATTTGAATTCAGCAAAAAAACTTTTCAAAGAAATACAGATAAATTTTTTTAACTAAAGCATTCCTATACATTTCCAGTCTATTAATAACTTATAAATCGATTTTTATTAAATTTATTTATTTAATATTTTATTCATATACTGCCAGCCGACGCACACATTGCGTATGTCCTGCGTATCCTTCATAGTGACTTAAAGTTTTTTGCAGTTTCGTTGGCAGTTTGGCGTAGTGTCCGTTTGTTTATTTTCTTAGTCTTCCTTCCTTCCGCATTTCTTATTTTTTTCCTCATTTATTTGTCTAACAAAATATCATTAAATAAGGTCCTTTATTGTTACTATGTGTTTTTCATAGTTTGTGTCACAAGCGGAAGTTTTACAATACGGTTTATAACCCCATAACTTATTCATACGATATGAGTTTATGTCTTATGAATATTCATTTTGTGCCCCACTTTTTGCTATTTACTTTGAATTTTTTTTACTCTCCTTCTGGTGCACGTGCTTACTTATGTCTACAATTGCAGTATGGTTACTTCTATTCTGCTGCAAGGATTCAGTAGAAAAAGGATTGAGACTATTTATCTTAAACATGAAAAGTAAAAATGGAAATTTATATACCGGACAATTTGTATGCGAATGGATTTAGAAGGGTGAAGAAAGAGAGAGAGAGAGAGAGAGCTATGTGGAACAGTCGTATGTTAGTTAAATTAAAGTACGGCTTATAATGATAGTCCCATTTTTTAATTTTATATATGAAATAAAATAGATTTTTCTACGTAAGTTAAATTAGGCAGCTATTAAATGATCATTGAAGAAATAATTGGAGCTATATTACAGAGATCGATTATATTCTCCAGATGGAATTAAATTGATAACACTAAGAGTAGGTGCCCCATTGGTAAATATTGTTTTAACCGCAGTATGGCACAAATGTATGAAGTAACCGATCCAGAATTTTTCTTTCTAAATAAGAAACTACCTTAAGATAAAATATCTTATAAGCTCAAAATTAAGATAAAATATTCTACAAATAATTTCACTGCAACTTAGGATTTCATTTATACAACAGTGATTTAACTATCAAAAATTATATAAAATTTTCATGAGAGTTTCATGAAATTTTTAAATTTCCAATAAGATGAATTGTTATATATTTTTTGTTATATTAATTGTGCACTGCATTTATATTTGCGGAGGAACAGAAGATCAGGAAGAATTCTCTCAACTTATTGTAGGAGGGTACCGCAGAAATGATACCGAATTAACCAAATACATAGTTATTATCAAATATGGAAGACACACAATCGCTTACGGCGATAATCATATATGTGGCGGAGCTATTATATCAAAAAGTAGTGTTTTGACGGCTGCACATTGTTTAATTCTCAAAAAAGAGTAAGTTTATTAAAAAATAAAAAAATAAAATTTTCACAATAAAAATTACAATCGCTATTTAGCAACTCAATCGAAAAGAGACCTGCCAATAAGCTATCCGTAGTTGCTGGATCAAAATATCGCTTGCAAGTTATGAGCACAACACAAACAATGGAAGTAAGTGAATCAATTGTGCATCCATCCTATGATGGAATCACTTTTACTGGAGACATAGGTCTGCTACTGTTAACGAAAAGTTTTGCATATGATGGCACGACTGTAGCGCCAATACCCTTAGCAACTGAAACGCCTAAAGAGAACACTAAATGTATTGTAGGTGGATGGGGCTCTGCATATCATGTAAGCTTATAAACGCGAGCTATAATTTCATGTTGAATAGGTATATTTAATATATATTTCATTTAGCTTGGTCCGTATCCAGACAATATTTTATTTGCTGATCATCATGTATTGGATGAACAATTTTGTCCGCCAATAATGATAACAGTTGCTGAAAGTATGATCTGTGCAGAAAGTATTGAAAATAAATATATGTGCGTATGCAATGGAGATTCAGGAGGACCACTTTTATGCAATGGGTTTGTATGTGGAGTAGTTTCTCGCAGCAGAAAGTGCGATTATGTATATCCGGCTTTATATACAAATGTTGCATATTACAGAAATTGGATACTTAATCATATTAACAGTAGTAAGAGGCAATCTAATTCTTTGTCTAAATTAATTTTCTTTGAGATATTATTGATTTTATGTTTACTGTAAATTGATGCTATTGTGAAGTATAAAAATGGCTATTTTTATCTGTAATAAAAATATATATTATATGTATATTGTGATTGTTGCAACATAGGTTATAAAAGATAGTTCCAACTTCATATGTACAGCTAAATATGGTGTATCACTAATAGCGTCTACAGTGACGCTAAAAAATTTTACTTTTGATAAAAAACTGTTAAATAATAATAAAAGCTAATATAACTTATCTTATTGAAATATGCAACGAATATTTTAGACAATAAATTAAATTCGTCTGAATTATAATTGATTCATCCTTAAAATAATTATACTTGTACATTAGAATGTGAGTGGGATAAACACTGGTCTTGGTATCACTGTGTAAGGAAAACAATTGTCTATAAAGCCATCTGCAAACTTATCTGAGCGACTTATTTATATCAAGATAATGAGTACTGAATATGTATCAGTATGTATCAGATAATGAGTTGAAGAAACCAATTTTAATTTTCATTAACGTAATATAATAATTAATTAATTAATTAATTATAATAATAAACAAAAACGGCGAACTTTGTTTATTTCGTTTCTATCAAATACACAGGTGTGGTTGATTGTGCATTTCGCTTTAGCTTAAGTTCGCTTTGGTTAAGTTCGCTTACGTTTTTACGGTGCGTACCGACTAACTAAGCCTTGAGGTTTGTTACGTCGATAAAAAGTAGTATAGAACTTACTTTATCCTTCTGCTGTAATGATATATATTTCCAGGAGTCTTTTCCATATGTGCAATAGCGCAGGGCGTCCTAACAGCACATATGTGACTTCATTCTCTTCGCGGAATCTACAGTTTGCATCCGTAAACTTGAAACTAACAAATGGGACATTGTTTTAATAATTTATAAGCTTAATTTTTTTTAAAATTTATTCTAACTGTATTTTTTATTTAAATTTTTCTAAACAATTGAATTATGTTCAGTATTATAAACCCCGAAAATATTTTATTTCGTTATACAACGAAAATCCATATAATCTTTCTGAGTTCCCCATAGATTCAAGGAAGGGAAATTACAAATGGAAAAATTTAATAAAATCTTTGAAGCAGAAAATTTGTGTTTACATTATTCTTAAGCTGGAAAGCTAGCAACCATGCACTGTCAATGCTGTGGTAGAAGCAAATATATGCATGCTCGCACATACACATAAGTGAGTAAATGTACATGTGTACTTGGTGTTGTTAAATACCGCAAATCTCAGTAGCTAAGGCCAAAATAAGTTGCAAATCCGTTGAAAATTGCTTGCGCTTGTGCTTGTTCCACCATTTTGCAGCTAAACACGCAAAGAGTTGAGATCCTTTAATGTTGACAAAGTCGTTGACACACATGCAATGCTAGTTAAGTGGGTGCCAAATATATAACCACACAAACACTAACGCATTTATATTAACACATACTCATAATCGAGTTCAAATATATGTTACCAGGTATACTAGTACAATATACGTCTGCATATATACATATATATATATATGTAAATCTGCTAATATTTATGTGTGAGTGCTTGCATATGTATATGTCTTGTTACTAGCTTATGTCTATATATCCTTTAATGCTTTACACATGCAAAGCTCGAACTTAAGTTCTTACACTCCTTCCTTTTTTGTAATAGCTTAGCTCTACTACATTTTTTAACAAGCAAAGACAATGGTGTGTGTTTTTGTAGGTTGACATTTCAAACAATGCGAATTTACGCGAAAGCATGTTCACTCATAATAATTTTTTCCACGTTTCAGTTTCACTTTTCTGAGCAGATACAAATTACAAGATACAACGACATTTTTTTAACCCAAGGCAATTGTATGCGTGTTTAATTAAAGCTCGAAAAGTGTCAAGTCATTTAATTGTAAAACGTCGTGGAACTAACGCGCCACGTAAATAGTAGTGCTCATATCTACGAAATCATAGGTGTTGACAGATAGTCACGACCGACAATAATTTGAAATTTCAGCTTTAAGTTTAAATGAAAATAAAAATGTTTGGAAGTTAAATTTCATTAAATTGCTAGAAAATTTAAAAAAAAAAATTCCATATTAATTGAAAAATTATTTTGGTATATTTAACATGAAAAATGTGGGACTTGTGTTTCTAATTAAAATAGTTATATGAAGGGGAATCCAATTTTTTTCTAATTAATGGCAAAAATATGAAGAAGTAAAAGCATATATATATTGTTATCGTACTAATGTGTTGTTACGAGAAAGCTATTTAAATAGGAATATAGGTTAAGAAAAATATTAACTTCAACCTTAATTCTAGTTACTGCAGGCTCTTTAAAAGTATTTTTAAATGGACAGGTCTTGTATGTTTATTTTCAACTAATTATATCTGGAAAACTAAGATAAATTGATATGTATCATATTTCACAAATTGATTTTGAAAATAATGATGTTTAAAGAAAACCACAGTTAAATTGTGGCGTCTCAGTAATCGAAATTGGGGTATAGTTTAAACATCATTAATAGTTGCAATGACTTTTCAGAGATTACACAGGGAATGAATTATGAAACCACACCTATGAGCCCGAATCAAAATAGTAATCCACTGTTTGAGTCTTTCAAAGTAATCAGAGTCTTTCAAAGTTATCCGCGAATGAAGCACATCAAAGCAATGGCAACTATAGTTGCAACTATAGTTGAAAAGCAAACCATTTTCACTAATTAACTACTGTATTTTTATTGTCAGGCGCAACCCCATAGTTGGGGTAATTTAACAGAATAAATCGTTAACAGACCCCACAGACTTATTTGTTGGAGTAGTCAAGATTGACACATAAGGTTATATGTATCAGAAACCCTAAGTGTAACAAATGACTTCTGATCCTTTCTTGACGTCTGCTTTAAAAACGATATTCAAACGAAACGCAAAAAATTATAGACAAAAGAATAAATATTATTAAGATGAAATACAAGGTATCCAGCTTTTTTGGAACATTTTTAAACAGAAACATTTTGTGTTGAAAATTAATTTTAATAAAGTATTTGTTGGTCATTATTATGTATGACCCCTTGCCATTTACGGGTAGCTTCATTATAGAACTTCAGTATCGAACTTCTGTGGTGAATCGACAAAAAATATATGTTTTATATATGTTATAAAAAAAAACCTGTTATGATATTTTGACTGTAGTGTCTAAAAACCATACTTCATGTAATCTTGAAATCTGAAACATGAACCATGCATCATGTAATCTGAAGACCTTGACTCTGCCATTGTTTTCCGAAACTACATTCCCGAGATATATACTGTGTTCTCTGAATATAATTCCAAATTTTTGTTTTATTGGTGTCAGGTATTATTTATTTAAATTCATTACATTTTATACAGTTATTTGCTCTACACCTTTCTTCTAGTCATATACATCCTGAAGATCAAAATTGCTCCTGTAACTAATCGTAAGCTATAACTTATCGCGTTAAGAATTGTGGCTTTGAAGAACATTTAAAATTTTTTTTTTCAATGATTACATTACTTGGGTCTAATGTAAATTTGACTAGCTCTTATAACAGTGGATCATCTAAGTGGTTATAGACACTATTGAGTAAAAGTGCTCTAGACACTAACTCGCATTTCAGCAAACAAAAAATGAAAGAGCTTAGTTCTAATATCATATATACATATATATTTATATACTGCATCTATTTACAACTGTGTATTTTATATAAAACTGTTTAAAACAATTGTTTGCTTACCATTGTTTCCTCCACTTCGGAATTTACCTCGACAGCAGCTTGCGTAATTGCATGAAAGTAGCCTTAATGAGCACAGGTTGCGCTGTGGTTCGCAACTATCCAACACTGGCATCACAGCCATTTACGCTAACAGCTCTGATAATGACGCATTTAACGTTTGTGTTATATTTAAATTATCATAAAAGTGCACATGTGTTTACTGCGAATTTATACGTTACTGAGATAAACTCGGTTAACAGCTGCAACTCCCAGTCATTCCGGCAGACCACAATATTTGGCACTTAACCCACCGCAACGCCAGAAACAAAACATGTATGAAAACCAATTACTTTCATATATGAAAATTCAAAAGTGCCTTTAAGGGACTCGGAAAGTACTCGCACGCATAAAAGAGTGAAAATGAACGAATAAAAGGAGAAAAATTCTAAAATAAAAATTCACAAGTAATACGCATAAAGTTCTCCATAAAACAGAACATAACCAAAAGAATGGTTGGATGGTTGGACGACAGAAGAAAACGAAACATCAGAGCTGAACGAAACCAAAACGAAAGTAAAATTAGACATTTTTCCAGCATAAAAATGTGGCAATAAAAGAAAAGTTAAATTGTAATAAAGCCCCCAAGGGTCAGCTTACCACAAAGAAAAGAAAAATTCTGTTCGAAGTGGTGCTTCACGCAATATCCGAGCCGTCTATGTCCACTTGCGCTAAAACAATGCAAAACAATACGAAAAACGAAAGCAAGTTCAACTTTTTCAACTACTACCCCCGTTTCTTCTTCTTACTAATACGTGCATTGTTGCTTCTAGAGCCATTTCAACTTTTTCGTCGAGGCCTAATAACGCCATTTAGCCGTAAGTGCAGAGTTCGTCTTAAGTGCGACGGCTTCATGGTGAGGTCTCGGTTTAGCGTTTGTATGAGTTGCCACAATGTTACAAGTGGCAACTTTTGTAGTCTCACTCACTCGGTTTCTTTCTTTGTGCTCAGCGATAGCGCTTAACATTTTTTATTTGCCAGCTTAAAAGTTCTGTTTTTTCCCATATATTTTTATGAGAACGAGCGAATTTCATTGTTAAGCATTTAAAATGCTAGCTCCGAGCAATGCACAAACAATGGATTTCTAAGCAAGAGTATCTTCCGAGGCTCTTGGCTTGCCAGTGATTTTGCTGAACGAGTTACGAGTTGCGAGTTAAGTTGCAAACGGCAAGTTCTGTTTACACGAAAAATCCATTAAAATTTTGTTCTTTTCAAAGCAAACAAATTTAAATAAAATTTTAA